TAATCTGCAGATTGAACGTGGTTTCCCAGTTTTCAAAAGAATGCCAATCGCCCTAAATTCAAAAGCAACCCCTCCACGTTTTAATTCGAAATGTATTCTTATAATTATCACCGGATAACAAACTAGGTTACTTCTCAGCAGGAATATAATAAAGACGGACTCTCCTTTCGAATTAATCATTTACACTTCGGATTTTTTTCACTGGATAGCAAACAGCCAAGCGAGACTCACCAGTGATGTAAAATCTAAATTCCTTAGATCAGAATACTTGAGCAGGGAGTTTATTATCAGCTTGTTTTGAACAATGATTTGGGAAGGGAAGACCTTCACCAGGCGATACGTAAAGAGGAAATGCTCCCCCGAGAATGAGGCAGGTAATCCTGGATTTACCACCTGTTAAAGTCACGACAGAACCCACAAAGGGTACAGGGAGTCCTTGCCTTACAACAGTTCATTTAGTGACCGTTCAAAGTTACAACGGCGCTGAAAAAAACAAACGACTGGTGACAGTTTTTCACACTTATGACCGTTGTAGCATTCCTAGGGTCGTGTGATCACACTTTGGAAGCTTGGCAACCGGCTCATATTTATGACGGCTGCAGTGTCCCAAGGTCCCACGATCGCCTTTAGCGTCCTTCTGACGAGCAAAGTCAATGGGGAAGCCAGATGTCAGGGGTTCCAACGGATGCCCTAATTCAGTGGCCCCCAACCTTTTTTGAACCAGGGACTAGTTTCACAATTATTTATTCTTCCACGGACCGGTACCTGAGTAACGCGAGACTCCACCGCCATCGGGACGGCTCTTCGTTCGAAGCCGCCCCCCCTTCAACGAAACTAAGGCGCGAGCGCCCAAACACCGCTTTCCAACCGAAAACCCGGAAGCAACCAAAAACCCGGAAGCGCCATCGAAACAAGATGGCGGCGTCATCGAAACAAGATGGTGGTGCCCAAGCTTTGCAACCCAGTAAAAAATGATCCACGGACCGGTACCGGTCCGGGGACCAGTGGTTGGGGACCCCTGCCCTAATTAATTCAAGAGCCTCAAGCCAAGTTTCAAAAGAAATCCCATTATTTATTAGAAGCAACACGTTGGCCCTTTTCCCAAGTGCAGTCGGCTCTGCCCTACGTAATTTACTGCCCACCTATGACCTTGTTTCCCTCCCGCCTCCTCCCAGGGTGTGTCATAAACCACATTCTCCAACTGAGCACTTTCCCCGGGCTGTAGAAAACACGCCTCTCCAGCTGGGCTTGGTAACTTGAGAGACAGTCTAAAGAAAGGTATGCGTGGAAGGTGCTTCGGGTCATAGCAACGAACTGCACCATCAGACCCACTCCTTCTTATGGCAACTCGCGAGCAAGCCAGGAATGCTTTACGAGTTGACACCAGATTCACTTAACCACCATGTGGCTAACTTTACAATTGTGTTGATTGACTTTATGACTATGGTGAGAAAGGCTGTAAAATGAGGCAAAACTCACTTTAACTTGTCTGTTGCTTAGCGAAGGAAATTTTGGGCTCATTGCCATCGTAAGGTGGTGGGGGCTGCCTGTAGTTCTCTTCATGTGTCCTTCTGGTTCCTTGTGCGCCCGATGGGATAGCCATCCCTCAAATGATGGATCCATAGAGAGCAAGTCATTTCAAAAAGGAAGGAGTGGTCCATTTTGGGGGCAGTTCCAACAACTTTAGCTGCAACCCTGGGTCCTTGTGGCCAGCTCAGTGGGGCTTGTCTTCCATAAGAAGATCTTGCCCACTGCGCATAACTGGAACAATATTGTCACTGAATTGTTCTGCTGCCATATTTTACTTGGACGCTTCGAGGCTGCCACGTTTAATGCCTGGGAATTTGGGAGGGGGGATTTTTTAGCGAGTAGAAGATTAGACTCAACAACATTCTTTCTTAGAAGTCAAGGACAAGTTACTCTGCACCTGGAGAGGCGTCTCTGAAGGAAGGTCTCTGGCTGGGACAACCGTTTGATGGGGCCAAGGGCCTTCAAAGTTGGCAAGTTTAAGACTTGTGGACTTCAACTCCCAGAATTCCTGCGTTAACATGACTGGAGGAGAATTCTGCAAGTTGAAGTCCACAAGTCTTAAAGCTGTCAAGTTTGATGACCCCTGGGGGACATGTGATGGACTGATGGGTGCAGGGAATGGATCTTTGAAGTTCTCTTGAGGAAGGGAAAACCTGGAACTCACAGATTTGGGTTTTCCCAGATGTGCCAATATGACTACTCTCATAAAACAGGACTTTGAGGAAATGCCTGTCTCGGAGTTTATTGGGTTGGAGTTTGTTAGTTGGAACGCTGACATCTGCAATGTCTTTGGTGGGTAGACGCCAAACAGCTGCTTCTACTGGTTGATTTCTAATTTGTGGTTCTCTTTTATGCCACTGTCTGTGACGGGTATTGTGCTGTTGATTATAATTTAATCCTGTTTTGATCCCACTGGGTTGCCCTTGGCTTGTCCTTAACCATAGATGTTTCAATTTTACGGTGCCGATGTGGTTCTAGACTTATTGCGCCCATTTTATTATTTATATATTTATGCTGCGCCATGGAGGTTTTAACTTTGTCATAAACTGCCATGAATCTGTGGGCAGTTGGCAGCCAGGAAACCTAAGAGATAAGGAGCCACTGGTAAGCCTTGTAATAAAATAAAGACAAAGTTCTGTAAAGGACTATGTTCTGTAAAGTCTTCTAAACAGAAACAGCTTAAATCCAACTGGGCTTGTTCGTTTGCTATGAAATAATACTTTAACAGCAGGTTTCCTGAAGAAATGAGAGAAAAATATCATAATATCTCCCATTCCACACCTAAGCTTTAGTAATAGTGGAAATAACCTCAGTATGAGAATTCTGAGGGGGCAGGTGGTAAGACTGTAAAATATCCCCAAATTAAATTTAGAAAAAAATATGCTGCTTCTGCCAAGGAGCTGGTTTTACAGAGTTTATGATTATTACACAAATTGTCTACTACTGCATGTTTTGGGTGATTTGTCCTTTCCATCATTTATTGTTGAAGAACTTGTTTAATGACTGTCCCCATATATAGAGAGAGTTTTCGCGGGTACTTACACGTATGGTATTCAGCTTTGTTCGGGTATTTTCCCACGTCATTGTAGTTGTGCTTTTAAAGTTGTAGCAACGTTTCGGCAGAATCTCATCTGCCATCATCAGGCTTCTGTATTGTGTTCGTCTGTGAGTCAGACTTTTACAAATTTAAAACTGAAACCACTGTAAAAGTCTGACTCACAGACGAACACAATACAGAAGCCTGACGATGGCAGATGAGATTCTGCTGAAACGTTGCTACAACTTTAAAAGCACAACTACAATGACGTGGGAAAATACCCGAACAAAGCTGAATACCATACATACATACATACATACATATATACCTACCTACCTACCTACATATTAATAAGACTTTCCTGCAAAAGGAGACCTAAATGTTTTCCAAAGAACACAATCTAAGAACAAGTCAATTGTATCTTTACTTACCACATTGTGAGCTTCATCAAGTATTATTACAGCCCCTTTTAAGTCCAGGTTATGAGCTCTTCGACTCTATGAAAGAGTAAAACACAATACTCTCAGTTAGTTGCGATACAGGTAGCACTTGACTCACGACCAAAACTGAGCCCAAAATTTCTGTTGCTAAGCAAGACCAAGGTTGTTAAGCGAGTTTATTCTCATTTTAGACCCTTTCTTGCCATGGTTGTTAAGTGAATCACTGCAGTTGTTGAGTTAGTCACATGATTAAGTGAATCTGGCTTTTCCACTGATGTTGCATTCAGAGTTTTGCAGTGTTAATTCAGCGCCAGAAAAATAAACACAGGTGGCTGGTGCTTCGTTTAACATCTTTATAAACATAACAAGTAGATTTTACAAACCAATTATAGATTTCTCCAACATGGTGCAAACTCAGACAGAAGTAGACATGTCACAAGTGCAGAGCATGGCAACTGGCATGAGTTTACAATGACTGCGGAGTCCTTCCTGGAGGGCCAAGTGATTGACATTTCTAACCTTGCCAGCCAACTTCTACCAAGGCAATGGTAAGAAGCCGGGTTCACTTAACAAATGCATGATTCACCTAACAACCAAGGCAAAAAGAGGTCATAAAAATTGAACACCACTCACTTAACAACCGCCTCACTTAAGCAATGGAAATTCTGGTTGCAATTGTGGTAGAAAGCAAGTGAGGTTAGTCAGTGGATGACATCCCTCGAAAATAAGACCTGGTGCCTTTTTGGTGGCGAAAAAAATATATGACAGGGTTTTATTTTGCGGGAAACACGGGTAAGTCCAACTTCTCTGTAGGGCTCAAACACAGTCACTTCTCCATCAGCTTTGTAGGTGCTTCTGACAAAAATACAGATGGACAAAGGTTCAAGGATAATGTCCTCGACCCTCAGATCATAAGGACATCATCCATGTGCCAGGTCCTTGACGACTTGGGTCAGCTCCATAATTTCCACTGTGACCACAAATGTCAGAGTTGATCAAGATTCTGTACCAAGTGAATACAAACCCAAATGCTCCCTAGTAACCAACTTCCACTGAAAAATCTACCTCCGGTTATCTTTGTCACAGAATTTGTAAACGCCAAAGAGCATTTCCCAAAATATACAAATCAGGTTTGGTTCTTTTTTAAAAAATAAATAGATATACAACATATACCTTTGAGTCCAGCAGATAGTTATAAGGCATAAAAATGATGTCGGCTTGATGTTTCAGACTCCGAGAAAGATAATAAGGGCAAACTCTGTTTAAAGAGAAAATTTATAAAAAAAAAAATTACACAATGCTTTCTCTGAGTTAAATTGCTTTCAATAAAGCTTTGTTCTGTTTATCCAGAACTGCCTGCCATCTTTTTAATGGATGATAAAACACTATAAGCCAAGATATCCAATTTGTGGCTTGGCCACAAATTCATTAGTTGCTATTAAGTCAAAATAACTGCCACTTTCCAACTGCAGGGCTATTCCAGGGTTTTGGTTTCATACTGACATGACACTGTTACTTGTAATTTGTGAGTTCCATTTTAGCCTACAACCAAAGATAACTGAACTATGGATAATGAAGCCTTGAGTCTCTGGAAAGATTCTGGAACACAAAACCAGGGGGAAAGCACTGGGGGAGGGGGCTGAGAAGATTGGTGGGTCAGGACAGTGTTTCTCAACTTTAGCAACTTTTAAGATGTGTGGACTTCAACTCCCAGAATTCTGGGAGTTGAAGTCCACACATCTTAAAGTGGCCAAAGTTGACAAATATTGCAACAGAGGAAGATTGGAAGCATGGAACCCAATAAATATTTTTATGTACATGCAAAATATATTAAAATCTCTCACTATGAACACAGTTCATTAAATCTTTTACTGTAGATAATAAAGCCATATTTACAGAAAGGGAGTTTATTTATCTGCCTATAAAATTCTAAAGCTCTTGGTGTTTGTCACCTTTGACTGAATGAATTTGTGCATCACAGGAAAAACGCTTATAACTAAGGTACCTCAAACAGATTAACTTTCAGAATGCATCCTAAAATTGGGACCTATGGCCCTCGTGAAATTGAAATCTGGCAAACGTTATAAAACATTTTATAACATCAAAATCATAACGCATTTTATGACATAATACAAAGTGTCATAAAACAACTCCCCTGGTCAACTCCTGATGTTTGACTGTTCAATCAGAGCTACTTCCAAGGCAGATGCATCTCCGAAAATCTTCCTGAATTTTTAAGAACTTTTCCAGTACATTAGACGTTTGCCATACGAAGGCATTTGAGCAATCTGACAAAAAATATCTCTGAAACAATAACCAAAGGCCCACAGATCGTCTAGTATACCAGTAAAACTCTTGAGTCTGTAACCTTTAGCTGTGAGATTGTGCACCATGGGGCAACCATTTTTGAACCAAGGTAGCTCAAATGGGTTAATCTATAGAATGCATCCAAAATCTGGCACCCATGGGATTTTAATTGATAAGTTTGTGATCCTTTGAAGTTGTTGCATCACTGTGCTACTGTTCAGTAGACACAACAGTAGACAAGTCCTGCCCTAGTCTACCTAGGAGGTGTGGTAGATCAATCCTACCACATTGGCTGACCAGAGGAAGGTCTGGTACAGTCAAGCCAGCAAGGAGATGCGAGTCACTCCTGCTCCTACTCCTACTCCTTTTTTTAAATCCTTGCTCATTCTGTTTCTCTGTTTAGGTAAAGAAATATCTCTGGAAGGATGACCCAATGGGACACAGGTAGCTTGGTTTAATTTATTTTATTTTATTTGTCAATTGTTTACAAGATAATAAGTATAAGTGTATACATAGTTATGAATACATGAAATGGGTACATATAAGAAAAATAAAAGAAAAACAAAAGAAACAATAGGACAGGGACGGTAGGCACGTTGGTGCACTTATGCACGCCCCCTACAGACCTCCTAGGAAAGGGGTGAGGTCAATAGTAGACAGTCCAAGGTTAAAGTTTTTGGGGTTTGGGGAAGAAACTAGAGTCAGGTAGAGTATTCCAGACATTGATCACTCTGTTGCTGAAGTCGTATTTCCTGCAATCAAGTTTGGTGCGGTTAACCTTGAGTTTGTATCTGTTGTGTGCTCTTGTGTTGTTATGGTTGAAGCTGAAGTATTCATTGACAGGTAGGACATTGCAATGTATGATTTTATATACCATGCTTAAGTCAGACCGAAGACGGAGTAATTCAAGGTTTTCTAGTTCTAGAATTTCAAGTCTGGTGGCATAAGGTATTCTACAACGAGTAGAGGAGTGGAGAACTCTTCTTGTGAAATATTTCTGGACTTTCTCAATTGTGCTAATATCAGATACGTAATGTGGGTTCCAGACTGATGAGCTGTATTCGAGTATTGGTCTAGCAAATGTTTTGTATGCTCTAGTTAGTAGTGTGATATTACCAGAGAAAAAGCTACGTAAGATTAGGTTAACAACTCTTAAGGCCTTTTTGGCTATGTAGTTACAGTGGGCTCTAGCACTTAGATCATTAGAGGTGAGTATTCCAAGGTCCTTTACAGAGCTTGGATCATCAACAAGATCTTGACTATTCAGCTTGTATTTTATTTTCGGATTTTTTTTGCCAATATGTAAGACAGAGCATTTATTTGTTGAGATTTGAAGTTGCCATTTGTTTGACCATTCTGATACACAGTCAAGAAATAAAATATTATAAAATATTCCATTGCCCCAAAGTGACTCTGGGCAGCGTAGAAGAAATAAAAATAATGGAAAGCATTTGTAGCTCAGGTCCTTCGGTCGGTTTCTTGCAGATGTTTCATTACCCAAAATAGGTAACATCAGCAGTGTAACTTCCCCTCCCTCCCTTCGAGCACCGAGGATCAGTTTGGGTCATGAAACATCTGCAAGAGACCGACCAAGCTCAGAGAGTAAGGAAGTCCCCTCAGATAGAAATGTGTTTTTTTTTTTAAAAAATATCATAATATCCAAGTTCACAAACAAATCCAATTCGTAAGGAATAGTAACCCAGACTGAACTAGCAAAAGTTGCCCAATCACATGGCCCAAATGCCTGCGAAAACTGCCAGGTCTTAAACGCCTTAAAAAAAAAGGCTAACCAGGTCAGAACCGTCCTGATTATGGTTGTTGCATAAAGCGTGTGACACCACAGGGGAGGCCCAACTCCAGGGCCTAACAGGGTGATGCTGTTTAATGGACTCAGAGGATGCCTTCCCTGCTAAAGTTGGTGAGGCGAACGAAGAAAATGGGAGACAGACAGTCCCGCAAATCATCAGAGGTATTTTGCCGTGTAAGGCTTTGTAGTTAGCAACCAGAATCCTACTGGGAGCAATATCGCCGTACAGAAGTAATGAGAAAGGACCCAAACTGCCCACATCACAACATTGTGAATCGGCTGCAGCTCCTCAAGGGAATCCAATGCAGAGTCCATTACAGTCTCATTCATCATCTTCAGGCTTTGTGCTTCTCGGAGTGATGTGAGATTGCAGCTGCTTCTTCCTTTTAACTGCTAGTGGGGGTGTGACTTGATTGGGTGGGGGCTTGGCTGTGTTCTGATTGGGTGGGGGGTGTTCTCATTGGTTGGGGGTTTGGCTGTGTTCTGATTGGCTGGGGGTGTGTTCTGTTCAGGTGGGAGCTTGGTTGTGCTCAGGTTAGTCTTAGTTGCCGGGGGATTTGAGCTGGTGAACTGTGATCCTGTTGTTTGGCTTCGTGTTCGTGGTCGTGCCACGTCTTCATGGTGGGCGTCCGTTCGCTTCATGTTTGGGTCGGAGGGGTTTGAAGCGGGTAGTGATGCAGGTGCGGTACGGCTTCTGGTCCGTGGTCGTGTCTCATCATCTGTGTGGGTGTGAGTCTGCTTTCTACGTGGAAGTGTGGTGGTAGCATCTTGTGTGGCCCTTGTGGGTGTGGGTCTGGTATCCTTCATGTTATGTACTCGTTTGTTAATGAGGGTGGGTTTCAAAATGGCTGGTAGGCGGGAGGTATCATCTCGTTTATGCATGCTGTGTGGGCGTTTTTCTATCTCTATGGCTTCTCTGATTATTCTGTTGTTGAAGTGTTCAGTTTTGGCGATAGTTCTGGTATTTTTAAAGTCAATCTCATGTCCTGTGGCTTTGAGGTGTTGCACCAGGGAAGAGGTCAGTTCTTCTTTTTTGTTTGAGTTCTTGTGTTCTTCAATGCGTGCACTTATTCTTCTGTTGGTTTGTCCGATGTATGCGGTGGGCGAGGCAGTGCAAGGGATTTCGTACACTCCTTGGTTTTCTAACTCGATTTTGTCTTTAGGGTTTCTTAGGATGGTGGATATTTTTCTGTTTGTGCAGAATGCTGTTTTGATGTTGTGTTTTTGGAGGATCTTGCTGATTTTGTCTGTAGTCCCTTTTATATATGGGAGGAGGGCTTTGCCGTTCTCTTGTTCTCTGTCTTGGATTTTGGTTGGGGTTTCTTTTTGGATTAGGTGGGTAATCTTCTTTCTTTGGAATCTATTGGCTGTTAGTACGTTAGTGAGAGTGTGTATTTCGGTTTTTAGGTGTTGTTCATCGGCTAAGCATTTTGTTCTGGAGATGAGTGTCTCGGCTACGGAATTGATCTGTGCTGGGTGGTGGTGTGAGAGTGCATGTAGATAGCGGTTTGTATGTGTTTTCTTCTGGTAGATGGTGTGTCCTAGGGAGCCATTGGATTATTTGTATACTAAGACATCTAGGAAGGAAAGTTGATTGTTGGCTTCTGTTTCCATGGTGAATTGTATTTTGGGGTATATGCTGTTGAGATGTGTGAGGAAGTTGTTTTTTTCCCGTGTGGTCATCTACGTATCTGAGCCAGAGTTTGGGTTTGTGATCATATTTTTCTAGAGCTTGTGTTTCAAAGTGTTCTATGTAGAGGTTTGTGATGACAGGTGAGGGGGGTGATCCCATGGGTACTCCTTCTATTTGTTTGTATTTTTGTCCGTTGTAGGTGATGTATGTATTGGATAGGCAGTGGTTGGTCAGATCTAAAATGTGCTGGG